CATGAACACCACAGGTAATACACACCTGAACACCACAGGTAACACACACCTGAACACCACAGGTAACACACACCTGAACTATACAGGTAACACACACCTGAACTCCACAGGTAACACGTCTACCTTTGTCTCTGTTCCAACAGGAAGTTGCGTGTGGTCCCTGCTGACAGCTTCCTGTTGAACTTTGCGTCGGATCGATCCCACATGAAGGACTCTGAAGGGTCTTGGAGGATGCCCCCCCCACCCTACCCCCCCATACGGACCACAGGTCACATGACTCATCACCTCAGTATGTGGTAATGTTAACCGTGAGACGACATCACGATGACATCACTGTGATGCGTTTCCTCCTCAGAGTGTCAGATGAACCTGGACGACTTCATAAGTATGAGCCCTGCTGTCGGCTGGGGGCGGGTCTTCAGTCTGGACAACTTCCTGTTGAGACACTCTTCATCATCATCTTCATCATCATCATCTTCAGCAGCTTCATCTTCATCATCGTAGTCTTCATCTTCATCATCTTCTTTTTCACTTTAATTTTAATCTTTCTCAATATTTTCTTCTTCTCATTGTTGTACACTGAATTTAAATATACATATACATATATATGTATGTAATGTTTGTATGTATTAAATGTTTTATTACATAAATGTGTTTTTATACACTTTCTGTGTTTTATAATATGTCCTTCATGTTTTCTGACCTTTTCTCTCAGATCAGTTTTATTAAATCTACAGGATGAAAAGAGACTTCAGCTAACTAGCAAAGTTAACAAGCTAGGGTAACTGGTTAACTAGCGAAGTGACCTAGTTAGCTAAGTTATCAGCATGAAAGAGATAACCAAGATAATAGATATACTATAACCTCTATTTGTGTTTAGTACTTGTGAAGCTGTTTTCTGAATGGAGCTCTGATCGATCAGTGCTAAGCTAACATTGTAGCAGCTCCATCAACACTCAATATAACGTTATATAGACGTAAATACAGCATCATTATTATTTATACCATCTGGTTGATACACAGTTTGATCTCTACTAATATGAGGTATCGTAGAGATCTGAACACAGGCGGATACAGTATGAAGTCAGTGATGACAGGAGGAGCATCTCAACACTGATAGGCTATCAGGAGGAGCAAAATAACACCCATACAATAACACAACACACACACAATAACACATACAACACATTCATGACGTCACACAAACTCAAACACACAGATGGATTCATGACGTCACTCTGGTCGCTGCTGCGGACTTGTTGTTCTAATGCTAAGCTAACAGCTATCGCTGAAGAGGTCGCGCTGCTAAACTCTCTCCCGGTACCGTTCATTAGCTCGGGTTAGCTCACATTAACCCGGGTTAGCTCACATTAACCCGGGTTAGTGGAGGAGGACGGGTTAGCTAGCCGCTTAGCTTCGTTAGCATGTTCTATATAATCGACCAGTGTTGTTAATGTTAGCTCGTTAGCCTGAGAGCTAACGTTAGCTGTGGTTCTGTTGTAGGATATCTTAAGACATTATATCTAATAATGTAATATAATATCCAGAGTTATTATTCCCGTCATGTCTCAGAACACGGAGCTATGTTCCTCTGAGCTAACGCTAGCTGTTAGCCGGAGCTAACGGGAGTCTTTGTTCGGAGCCGGGTTGTGATGTTAGCGTAGTTAGCCGGTAGATTAGAGCAGACACAGAACAGTTAGCTGATGCTAAGCTAACAAAGGACGTTCATCGTGTTTTCCGAGCTTTGAGGCTGACATGACGTCAGTGACCTTCATCATCTAAAGGGTTATTATGGCCCTCTGCCGAAGCTGCAGGCTCAGCCCTTCGGTGGTCTACTTGCTGGTCCTATCAGGTGAGTTCACTGACTCAGGATCAGATATGATCATAAAGTCACGTTTATGTTCTGATACTTCTGTTATTATATTCAAACAACGTAATGTGAGAACAAGATCGCATTTTTAATCCATTGTTATGCGCAAAGTTCAATAATGAATTCAAAAGTAGTGTATTGCGCACTTTTATTTTAAAGCGCTGCTATATGAACAAAAGGTCAACAACATTTGGTTTGTAAACACTTTAAACACATCACGTTGTTGTTAGCAGCAGTATTCCCTTTACACAGTAGCAGTTATAACACAGTTATAATGATTCTGATCATAGATATTCAGCCGGTGTTCAAAACTTTATCTTCATGTGTGTAAGAGATGCAATTTAAATATACACCTTGAAAACTGCAAACCTATCTACTTCATGTTTTTATGTTCATTAAATTCTCAGTAGTGATAACTAAATGATGCTTATTATACATATTACAAACAAAACACTAAAAACAATAATTTAAATGAATCATTTCTTTTTTTTTTGGTATGTTGGTCAGACACATATGCAACGCTGATTACCGTATTTGTTATAAATGTACGTTGGTACATAGAGGGTGATAAGAAGCTGTACATGGAGGGACTTAGGACCCAGGGGAATATAGGTGAAGGAAACAGGAAGCGACGGAAGAGACACCACACAAACAGCTGTTCACCGCTCCTGCCAGGTTCTTGTGTTAAAAATGTCCGCTTAATAATAAAAAACAACTGCGATAATAACGCGTTAACTTGCCCAGCACTAATAAATATACACATATATATATATATATATATATAAATATATATATATATAGTTATATTTAGTCATATATATATATATAAATATACATAGGCCTACGTATATTTATATTTGTTAAGTTTCCTTAAGACGTTCTGATGTTAAGACGTTCTGATGTTAAGACGGTTCTGATTTTAAGACGGTTCTGATGTTAAGACCTTCTGATGTTAAGACGTTCTGATGTTAAGATGGTTCTGATGTTACGTTTCTTTAAAGTGATTTGACTGAACTTCCGGTTTCCGTTCTGTTAATTGTGTTTGTGTCTTTCCCAGGATGCATTGCTGCGTCTCAGAGGAATGACAACGTCTATGTGTCAGGGATTTCTAACGGTAAGTTGGTAGCAACTACGGTGATGTCACAACCACAATGTCACATCAGCTGAGCTTCATCTTCTCACTCTCTGTCTGTCTGTCCAGCCTGTGGTGACGTGGCGGAGCTCCTGCGGGCGTCCAGCGGCGTCATCACCAGCCCCGGTTGGCCCTTTCAGTATCCGGCCAGACTGAACTGCAGCTGGAACATCAGAGCGCGACCTGGAGACACCGTCACCATCAGGTAACACTCAGACTGTTACGAGGTTCAGGACCAGTCAACAGAGAGGGAACAGGGTTCAGGACCAGTCAACAGAGAGGGAAAAGGGTTCAGGACCAGTCAACAGAGAGATAACAGGGTTCAGAACCAGTCAACAGAGAGGGAACGGGGTTCAGGACCAGTCAACAGAGAGGGAAAAGTGTTCAGGACCAGTCAACAGAGAGGGAAAAGTGTTCAGGACCAGTCAACAGAGAGATAACAGACTTCAGGACCAGTCAACAGAGAGGGAACAGGGTTTAGGACCAGTCGGCAGAGAGGGAACAGACTTCAGGACCAGCCTTCAGAACCAGAAGCTAGCGGAGGACCATTTAATCAATACTTTCTCGTCTCTGTTCGTAGTTTTCAGGACTTTGACCTCCAGGGTTCCCATCGTTGCTCGGCGGACTGGATGTCCATCAGCAGCTACAGGAGCCTGGATGGGCTCCGGGTTTGTGGTTCCTCCTTGCCGCCACCTTATATCTCCTCCCAGGACCACGTCTGGATCCACTTCCACTCTGACGACGGTCTGACAGGAAAAGGCTTCCGACTGTCCTACATCACTGGTGAGGACTTGTAGAGCGTCAAAGCTTCGATGGAGCAGGTCACTAATGTGGTTCACAGATCTCTGGGTGCAGTGAGGTTTGAACAGGCATCCCTGTCTGGACTTTGATCAGCAGAACCTCCTGGTTGGAGTTAATCCTCTTAGCTGATCCATGAGGAGGTCCAAGGGTCTGAAGCAGACGATATTAGGAAGAGTTCAAAAGTCCTGATCAGTTTGAGGGTGGTGTTGTCACATTACCAGATGTTTTAAAGTCATCCATCAATAACCAATAATATCCTGTTGTAGGTAAACCAGAGGCCTCCAGCTGTGACGTGGACCAGTTCCACTGCTCTAATGGGAAGTGCGTCCCAGACTGGTGGCGCTGTAACTCCATGGACGAGTGTGGAGACAATTCGGACGAGGATCTGTGCGTGGAGTCTCCATTCTCTTTCCAGCCCTGCAGTCTGAATCAGTTCCCCTGTCTGTCCCGGTACACCCGGATCTACACCTGTCTGCCCCACAGCCTGAGGTGTGACGGCAGCATCGACTGCCAGGTAACAAACCAGTTCTCCCAGTCCAACACCAGCCATGATCGTGTTGCTCCACAGCTAGACGAGCATTCTTCTTCTGTATCGATGAACAAACGGGTTGAAAGTTCAAAGAAAGAAAAACGTTACTTTTGATATCGGTAGTTCCTCTTGTGTGAGGAAGATGATGATGATGATGAGACCCTGATAATACCTTGTTAGAGTTAGTGAGCTAGTTATCTTAGTGACACGTTTTATTCACCAGTAATGCTAACATGTGACGTTCACACACTGACACTATTTACGAACGCACCAATCGTAAACAAGCTGCTAATTGGTGCAATTTGAGATCTGACTACTGCCCCTGTTTACAGTTGTCTATGTTTACAATTGTCCCTGGTTACAGTTGTCCCTGTTTACAGTTGCCCCTGGTCTCCTTGAGTGTAACTGTAACACTGAAGCCCAAATGACAGACGGGGTTCAGCAAACACAATCAGCTAGTTTCCTGATTTGGCCGCTGCTCTCAAAAGTATAATAATAAAAATAGTGATAACATTGACTTGGCTCTGCCCTGTCCGTGTCAGTCTCATGGTCCTGGGACTGAAGTGTGATAATGATCAAAATGATATTGGTGGTCTATATAAGCAACATAGCCCGATTCCTTCCAGTCTGCAATGCCAGGGGTCGGCACGCCTTGGTCCCGGCCTCTGTCTGCTGCTTGGCTCAATCCACCCCAACACCTCTCCCTGAGAGTGAGGGCTTGGACGAGCCCCCCCACAGGTCTGGCTCCAGAAAGGGGGCCCGGTTTCCATTTTCCAGTCGAGATGCTACAACTCTTTTCTGGCTGATTCATATAGAATCAGTGAATCTTAGTCTGGCCGTGTGATATCTTGATGGTTGGACCCTGCTTGCAACAGCTACATGGTTTAAACATTTTATTTATTTTCTGACATGTTTGTTTTGACCCAGGACCTTGGGGATGAGATCGACTGTGACGTTCCCACTTGTGGAGAATGGTTGAGGAACTTCTACGGCTCCTTCAGCTCTCCAAACTACCCCGACTTTTACCCTCCAGGAAGCAACTGCACCTGGCTGATCGACACGGGAGACCACAGGAAGGTAACCTCTGACCTCCATCCTCAACACAAACACCTGGGAGAGAAAGCTTTACTTCTTTGGGAGATCTAACGTCTCGATCTTCGTCCTCCTTCCCCCGTCCTTCATCTTCTGCAGGTCGTCCTGAGGTTTACCGACTTTAAACTTGATGGGACGGGATACGGCGACTACGTGAAGGTCTATGACGGCTTGGAGGAGAACCCTCGCCGTCTCCTCAGGGTTCTCACCGCCTTCGACTCCAGAGCGCCCGTCGCTGTGGTTTCATCGTCGGGTCAACTCCGCATTCACTTCTACGCCGACAAGATCAATGCTGCCCGAGGGTTCAACGTCACCTACCAGGTGTGTTTATTTAACCTGAGTGATGTTTCATATGTATTTAGTGAATTAGACGGGTTCTCTTGTTCCTGTGTGTCTCTGGGTTCTTAAGGTGGACGGCTTCTCTTGTTCCTGTGGCTCTCTCTGGGTTCTTAATGTAGACAGGTTCTGTTTAACTTGTTCCTGTCTCTCTCTCTAGGATCTTAAGGGGGAAGGGTTCTGTTTAACTTGTTCCTGTGTGTCTCTTTGGGTTCTTAAAGTGGACGGGTTCTTTCGTTCCAGTCTCTCTCTCTGGGTTCTTAATGTAGACGGGTTCTCTTGTTCCTGTGTCTCTGGGTTCTGAAGGTGGACGGGTTGTCTTGTTCCTGTGTGTCTCTCTCTGGGTTCTTAATGTAGACGGGTTCTGTTTTAACTTGTTCCTGTGTGTCTCCTTGGGTTCTTCAGGTGGACGGGTTCTGCCTGCCGTGGGAGGTTCCGTGTGGGGGTAACTGGGGCTGCTACACCGAGCAGCAGCGCTGTGACGGGTACTGGCATTGTCCCAACGGTCGTGATGAGCTCAACTGTTCTTCATGTCAGGAGGATGAGTTCCCCTGTTCCAGAAACGGAGCCTGTTACCCTAGATCGGACCGCTGCAACTATCAGAACCGCTGCCCCAACGGTTCTGACGAGAAGAACTGCTTCTTCTGCCAGCCCGGAAACTTCCACTGCAAGGTAACGACAACCTGTCAGCTGATCAACATAGAACCCATAAAGTAAACACACAAAGAACATGAAGTTCTACTAGAACCTGAGAGACTTTTCTCATTTCTCACACTTTAACATGAATTGACTAATATGCATCGCATCAACCAGTAAATATGCAACAGAAACACATGAATCTTCTGCCGTGTAACACGTCCTCTGACCTTCCTGCAGAACAACCGCTGTGTGTTTGAGTCGTGGGTCTGTGACGCTCAGGACGACTGTGGTGATGGCAGCGACGAGGAGAGTTGTCCCGTCATCGTTCCCACCAGAGTCATCACCGCCGCTGTCATCGGTAGCCTCATCTGTGGACTCCTGCTGGTCATCGCCCTCGGCTGCACCTGCAAGCTCTACTCGCTGCGCATGTTTGAACGCAGGTGAGAACCGACTCCGCCTCTGATTGGTCACTGCTTCTGTGAATCCGGTTTGCGATTAGGCCGATGTGTGAGCCGTGTGATTCGAGCCGTGCGATTGGCCGTTGCAGGTCATTCGAGACGCAGCTGTCCAGAGTGGAAGCGGAGCTGCTTCGGAGAGAAGCCCCGCCCTCTTATGGTCAGCTGATCGCCCAGGGTCTGATCCCACCTGTGGAGGACTTCCCAGTGTGCTCTGGGAGCCAGGTACAGAGAATCAGAACCAGTCTTCAGAATCTTAACTGTGAATTTACAGTACAAGTCTCTATTGTGGTCTGCTCTCTATCCACAGGCGTCCGTCCTGGAGAACCTCCGTCTGGCTGTCCGCTCTCAGCTCGGCTTCACCTCCCTGAGGCTCCCTTCCTCGGGTCGTCATACCAACCTTTGGCGCCGTCTCTTCACCTTCTCGCGGTCACGGCGGTCCGGTTCTCTGGCTCTGGTCTCTGCGGACCTGGAGGACAGCGCCGGCACCGGGAGTTCAGGTTCAGACCTGCTGTCTCCGGACTCGGATGACACGGACACGGAGGGCGAGCGGGGGAGGGGCGCAGTGGGCGGGCCTGTGGCCCCCCTCCCCCAGAAGACCCCGCCCTCCACCGCCGTGGAGGCCGTGGTGTTCGTGACAACCTCCGTGACGCCGACGCCCACCTGTGGGCGAGGCCGTGACCGGCTCAGAGAGACTCCGCCCCCCTCCAGCCCTGTCCCCGTGGTAACTCCCGGTCCAGATCCTGAACGTCACAGTGACACCTCAGAGCTTCAGGCTCCACCCACCTCTGCCATGCAGCGACTGGCCCAGAACTTGCACCACCTCGCCAGGAACTTGACCAGAACCAGCCAGAACCGGCAGGACCAGATCTGGACCAATCACAGTCCACTTCACCAGCTGGAGACAGGAAGAGGTGGGGCCGAGATCACGGAGCAGCGAGAAAATGGAGAAGAAGAAGAAGACGTGGAGCTCCTGATCCCCGTCTCCGACTCTGACTCCTCCTTGCTGGTCAGCGACATCCGACAACCACTGCTAGAACCGTATCCCTCCTCTACCACAGGCCACGCCCACCGCCATCACCGTGGAAACAGTAGTCGAAGAGGGCGGGACGGCCCGTGCGAACATTGTGGGATGGTCCACACGGCTCAGATACCTGACGTCTGTCTGGAGGCCACAGGGAAGACAGAGAGCAGCGACGACGAGCTGCTGCTGCTGTGCTAACAAGCTAACTGACAGACAGTTAGCTAACACGCTGTTGTGCAGGCTAACTGACAGACTGATACTACCCTGATACAACATCCACAGTTAGCTATCATGCGGCTCTGCTAACAGGCTAACATGCTAAGTGACAGGCTAAAGGCCTTTTCACACCGGGAACAAAAATAATACAACGAATAGAAAATGCTGAATATTCGCTGGCGATTTTTTTTAATATTTGAAGATTCGTGCTCCGTACATTCCACCGAAATTTAAAATCTCACATTGTCAGTGTTCAAGACTCTGACAATGTGGTCACGTTTCCTTTGAAGCGTCTTATTGTATCGAGTGTAAGTTCTGAGCCTCATTGCATTGGTTTGCATCATTCATGACTGGACTGAATCACGTGTGTTCATTATTATGGGATGGCCAATACAAGGCCTCATGGTCAGTTTATGATACGTCTCTATGGATATAAAGACAGTGAGCTCATGTGCTTCCATAGCTGGTAATTAAAAAAACACTGAACTGCAAAATACTAAAGATTTGGATTCGGTGTGGATCTGTTCATAGAGATAAATAAATACATTATATATATTGTATTTATTTATTTATATATATATATATATATATATATATATATATATATATATAT